AGTTCAACAATTTGTAAAAAGTATACATCACTAGTTTCAGATAAAAACAACTTGGCAAGGCTGTACGCGAGTATAGATATTATTTCCGCAGTAAATTCAAACGGACTGATTCAGTCTCCAATATATCTATTGGTTGAGCATAAGCGACGTTGCCGGATTAAAACTTATGAAAATATTTGAAAGTATTACGTAAAGGTAACGTCTCCAGGGTACAGTCTTGCGAACAAATTATGAATCACTTAGCTACAAGCTCGTATACTTTTACGGTGCGTATAATCTAAAAAAATTTGACAATATTGTACTACTACCTTAAAAGGTTACCAACATTTCAAGAAATTTACCTTAACATCTTAAAAATGTTAGCACAACCATTTTCGAAATATTACTCCGACATATCAAGAATGTTTAATTAACCAGATTAGCAGATTAGAACAAAAACTCTCATTTTGTTGATGTGACTAATATTTGTTGTTCAATTAAACAATACAATTTGACATTTTTAGATGGTTAAGTAAACGTGCAAAAACCATTGCTTGTATTTAAAGTGCATAAAGAGTTGAATTAATATTTTTTTGTTGTTTCAACAGCTTATTTTTTTCAGTGTATATATACATATTAAAGATAAAATTATAAACATATTATACATTGATTAAGGTTTAAAATAGTTTTCTTGTATTATTGTTATGTAGAACAGTTGCTTAACGAGGCATTACAACAAAAATAAAATAATGAGTTTTGTAATGGTATCTTGAAGCAATTTAACTTTAGTTGGGAGCCAAATCAAGCATGTATCGTTGTCGAAAATCAAGTTAATATTTAAACAAAGGTTGTTAATACTGCAACAGTAATGGTGTAAAATGATCAGGATAAGTTGGAGTCGGGCGAAATCTAAACGAAGTTAATAAAACAGTTGTTATTCATCCATGTAAAGCTCCTTAAATTATATTAACAACTACACGTTGCAGTAAAACGCAACGAACGTGTAGAGGAGAACTTTAGCGAGATCGTTACCGGAGTCCATAAAATAATGGCTGTCTGATCGAATTTATCACGATGTCCCATTGTACAGAGGCCCGATAATTGGTCAAATATATTGTCTGGATCGTGCGACGTCGAGTGTTTCGTTCTCTCGGCGCTGAAATCCCTGACCTTTTTAAATTGCGAACCCTTTTAGAATTATCAACTTTCTGTATGAGAAATTTTATCCTGCAGTCGAAATTTATCGAGTGCCGGAAAATTAGCGAGATACCGAAATATCACAGAGCGCTCATTAATACAAGATTATATTTCAAGGTACACCTACTTCAACATCATTTCGAAAATAAAACTTTTATTATACGCTTGAATCTTATGCTTAAAAACTTTTCATAATTTTACTTTTTTATCAGTAGCGTATTTAAAATTTAATATTTTTTAGGATTTTAGGATTACTTAAAAAAATTAAGCATACACGGAGAGAAATGTATAGTAAATTTTAGATAGTTAAAAAATATATTAAAATTTACTTTAAAAAATGTTTAGTTTAACAATATTAAATATTCGTCAGTAAAATATAAAGATTGTAATACGAAATAGTATTTTTTATTATACAATTTTAGTAAAGATTACAACACCAATATTATTAGATCAAAAATGTATAATACGTATTTTAATTTTGAATATATTCGTATAGTAAATTGATTTTACTATCTACAAATAGTAATATTTACTATATGATTTAATTAAATGTATAATACAAAATAATAAAATACACTATTTAGTTTCCTATGGGTTACGTATCTATTATATTTATTTTTAAAATTTACTATCTAATTATAATAAGAATTAAAAACAAAATTGGTTGAGAATAATAACCTTAAGGTATAATATACATGGATATTTAAAAATTACTAAATATGCATAGTAACTGGCAATATACAAGATAGTTGTCCCAAATAGTAATATATAATATAGTAAAGGGTATTATAATTATGGTAATCAGTAAAATACTTTTCTCTTCGTGTAGGGTTACAAAGTGACGATAATTTAAAATTATTTTTAGCTAATTGCCAACGGTGTACGGTCAGTGCTGCTGACTACAAGCCTAGAGGTCGTTTGGTTCGAGTCCCACATTGGTATGGTTGTGGGCAGGGTGGAAGAAGGAGTTGATTCAACTCCGTCGTTGAAGGCGGCCAGATAAGTCAGTATTTGTTAAAATAGATGTCAAAATAGATGGCGCCAAAAATAAGAACCTATTTATTTTTATAAATCCCGGTGTACAACAAACTTTTTCCATTTTTAGTAAAATTCCATTGATTAACTTCAAAGAATAGACCACTAAGATTAATTAAAATTCAAATAAAACCATCTCAACGCCACTTTTGTGCGTTTGTGGCGACTGTGCATTTTGGCAGAACAGTTGGCAATACTACAGTATTGCCAATCGTTTTGCAAATTATTATAATAATGCTGTAAGAAAAGATGTAATTTTCGTTAAGGAGGGTAGGAGACTCTCCTTGGGTTTTCGTTATCTTATAATTTGTTGTTAAAAGTTAAGTTGTTATAGAATATATGGATTTCGTTGGTAAAACCTTAGGTTCTTAGTTGACTCGCCATCTATCGAACAACGAACGAAATACTGACTTATCTGGACGCTTGCTTCTGTTCTGTAGAGATAGGAGCTATATCACCTTCTTCCACCCTGGTTGTGGGAACTTAAGCCCGCGGTCCGTTCCTACCCCCAACCCGCTCAAGCCAATCAGTTGGGTTCTGGGACTTTTTAGAAAGTAATAGGGCATTTTTTAATTGACATCATATCGATATCAAAAAAAAATATACCGTTTAAAAAATTGTTTTCCTATTTCCTGACAATTTTAGATGGACTAGAAAATTACTACCCTGGGTGGTAGTAACTGCGGACTACAAGCCGAGAGGGGTTCGAATCCCACCAGGTTTATGGCTGTTTATTTGTGTGTGTGTCAGTGTGTACTCCTGTAATTGGGCCTGGTGCCTGTTGGAAGCACATTAAAATAATAATAATAATAATAATAAATATATATAAATATATACTTTAATATATATTGAGTATATAATATTATTATATTCACCAGCAGCAAAATAATTTGCAAAATTTCGGCTTAATCGGTGGGATAAAATCGTCTTTCTGGATTTGTTTATTTGATTACATAGTTCCAACTTTACACGACCAATTTACAAGTGAAGAATATAAAGCCTGTAAAAATATGTTAAACTTTAGGAATCAGTTCAAAATTGTCATTTTTTGTTTAAATTTTGCATACCCACAAAAAAATTGGAATCCCTTATAATAGCTTTTTTCTTCGAAAATTAGCTTAAAAAACAACTTGACTTGAGATGGCGAAAATTCGAGACAAATACGTTGTTTGCATAAGTCACACAGAGTTTGAAGATAATACGTGAGTTACAAATATAATAAATATATAACATGAATTAATAAATAACAGATAGTTTAAAAAGTATAAAAATACAGATTACTAAAATTATTTGATAAAAAGTCATCAATGGAATAATAGTTATTTGTTTTACAAGTGTTGAAAAGCGACTTTTTCATAAAAGTGTTTAAGTTGCTCTAGCAAAAGCGTATACCTGCTGACCTTAAATATATTTCCAAAATTAATTTGAATTCGTTTAAGGCTTTACCAAAACTCTTATGCCTTTTACCCACAGAATTATAATATATTTATTTAAATCAATGCCCCCCCATTATGAAAAAGCCTTCTCACGCTTATGTTCTGAGTTCTGTGTTACATCTCATTTGCAAGTGCTGTAATTAATTTGTTTATAATTAAATATGTAATTAAAACATGAATGAAGATTTTAATAAGGAGGATCAACAAGATCCATACTTTGACGATTAAGACTTCGATAGAGATAAGGAATTTATTCCAGATAATAAATCGGATAGCGACGAAAGTCTCAGGTATTTTTTTGAGGTTTTTTATTTATTTTATTAGAGTAATTGCATCAAAAATGAAAATCCCTAAAAACCTTTTTAATGTAATCTAGAGGTAAAAACACATTGCGAAAATATTTTTTTATATTCCAAAAGTTCAACCCGGCCCAGAAATATCAAATTAAAAAAAGGAAATTTTCAAACGTTTCCGAACTCCCGCCATATTGCATGACGTCATAAACTTACACCAGTGTCAGAAATCAAGATGTCAACAAATAATAAACACCGATAAAGTTTAACATGTTTTACATGTTTAACATGAAAAACGCGAAAAAATTGGTTGTAAATATTGTTTTGTGCCTTGTTATACAAATACAACCTAGAAAACTCCTGGGAAAGTTGTCCCTTCAATTATCAAAAGCAAAGTTTATGACCCTACACTGAGAGCCGTTACTGCTAAGCCGTATTTTCTTGAGTTTACTATTATTTAACATACCTATTCCAACCACATACCTAGTAAACGACATTATATTTTACTTACATTAAAATGATCCTCGCAGCAATATAATGTTGACTGCGGTGACGATGTTTTGAAATCGCGCCGAGCTATTTTAATCCACTTTATTCTTATTTTACCTTTTGGCACGGTGATAAACCTTTTCCCAGGAGTTTTCCAGGTTGTATTTGCACAACAAGGCACAAAACAATATTTACAACCAATTTTTGTTTTCGCGTTTTCCATGTTAAACATAAACTTTATCGGTGTTTATTATTTGTTGACATCTTGATTTCTGACACTGGTGAAGGTTTATGACGTAATGCAATATGGCGGGAGTTCGGGAACGTTTGAAAAGTACCTTTTTTTCAATTTGATATTTTGGGGCCGGGTTGAACTTTTGGAATATAAAAAAATATTTTCGCAATGTGTTTTTACCTCTAGATTACATTAAAAAGGTTTTTAGGGATTTTCATTTTTAATGCAATTACTCTATTAGTAATTAAAATATTTATGCACAGTTATGACGAGCATGTTGAATCTACAGCGACAATAATTAATGATGAATTTGAAGACCTTGTAGAAAGTGATCAAATGGAGGTGCAGCCTCCAGAAAGTAATGAATTGGAAGAGGAACAAGCTGCCGCAACAGAGCCCACTCTATTCGATATTACTCCAAGGTTAAAGGCTAAAAAGAGGCTTCCAAAAAAATTACAAAGAAACGAATTCAAATGGAAGTGTTATATTCGAAAGCTAAAATATGACAAAGGTGAAGAATATACTTCGGTAAGAAACAAGCAGGTTCCAGCCAGATATGTAAAAAATAATAAAGACTGCGTAGCTAAATATTTTTACAAATATGTCACAAAAAATAAAGGCGGCTGCACAATTACTCGGGAACGGAAACGAAAATGAGAACGATAACAAGAAAAAAATTAAAAACACATATGTCAATGTGCACATGCAATAGGAACGCAGCATTATCGAAACCAATAGAAAATTAGTTTGATCTGTAAAATTATTTCTGACATTCGCGCTATTTGTTTTATCAATACGTTTTGTGTTAATAAATTAATGAAAATGAACGACGAATTAATTATTTTATTAGTGAAAAAGTGCCCACATCTGTACGATTCATTAAAAGAGTATAAAGATAAGATAAGATAAATTCTTAAAGGAAAATAGTTGGCTTTTAATAGCCGAACAACTGCAGTGTGATGGTACGTAAGTATATTTCTATTATAAATACCAACAAAATTAAATATCCCCAAAATATATCAACCTAAGAACTGAAATAATTATGTTAATTGTGAATCTTGTAAATCTTCTCGTTTTCGTTTAATTTTCCGTTCTCGTTTTCGTTAGCGTTCCCAAATAATTGTGCAGCCGCCTTAACTGAACAGGAGCGCTCAACAAATTTTTTGTAATATTACAGTCTGGCATCGAAAGAAAAACGTTTGCTTATTTTATCCACTACAGAAAGCTTTCTACCAATCATCGAAGAAAGGAAACCAAACCTGGACATTTCAGAAAAACTATTTCTTATCGATATTATTTTAAAATTAATGGACAAAGAGTGCAGGTATGCATCTTGGTACCCTTTCCATCAGTCAAAAGCCAGTGTACACAGCTCATAAGAAAAAAAGTCCTGCTGATACTCCCCATCACAGTATTCAAGGAAAACGTCAAAAAAAGTTTACCTCAGATGAGATCAAAGATCACATTTTTGTCGGGCAAATACTCAGCGACAATATGTAGAAGGCAATTTATCAATTAAAAAAATTTATGAATTGCATACGGTTTTTATGGAGGACAAAGGAAAAGAACCCAAAAAATTTTGCATTTACAGAAAAATATTTTGTAACGAATTTAATATCTATTTTCACAAACCCAGAAAGGAAAGATGTGATGTCTGCGAGGAGGTGAAAATTAAGAAACAAGAGGAAGCAAATACAAAAGAAAAGGAAAAGCATATAAAAGGGAAAGACAAAATGAGAGAAAATAGAAAAAATGACAAATACGATAAGAAAGTTGTACTGTGCTTTGACCTAGAAAATGCCCCAAAGCAGAAATAAAAAACTTTTTTACAGAATCAAGCTAAATGTATATAATATGACAGCTCATTTATCAATACATAAAAAAGTATATAGTGCAGTATGAACAGAGACATTGCAAGGAAGGAATTTAAAAGATATGGCCAGTGCTTTCTATAAGATCCTGAGCACAGTTTTACTGGAATAACTCTTTGGAGCGATAGCTATGTGCGACAAAATCGAAACAGTATAATGAGTTTTGCAATTGGTCATCTTTTACAGTAACACAATAAACTTTACAAAGTTACAATGAAATTTTCTGTGCCGGGTCATTCTGCTCTTCAAGATGTAGATGCGGTACATAGTTGCATTGAAAGAGCAATAAGAGCTACCGAATAATATTCCCTAGTTTCATTATTGCGTGCACTAAAAAATGTTAAAGAACGCAAACCCTACAAGCTTATATATAGCTGCAGCTGCAAGCATCAGAATTTATGGAATTTTAAGTTTATGTGCAAAACTTCAACTATGACGCAGTAGTAAATAAAACAGAAAAAAAATGAAGAAGTAATTTTACCAAAGCCGAATTCACGAGTTTTTCTATTTTAAATAGTTTTCTTTTGTAGTTTTTATTTTTTTCAGTTTAGTTCTAATTTTGAAGTTTACCTTAAGTTAATTAAAATATCATAGTTCTATGTAACGTAAATAATCAATAAATATAATAAAAAAAAAATTACAAAGTCCTAGTTTTTTTATAAATTTTACTACACTGCCCGTCAAAATTAACGCATAAAAAGTAAAAAAATTCTAACTCTAAAACGCCTTTACCAATCTTTATAACTTATATCTCAGTTTACGTGTCCGAGGGTTTTAAAAAAAAAATATTTTTAAAGCCCTTTAATTAAATAATAAAAAAAAAGTTCTAAAATAAGTTTCAAAGAGTTTTTTTTAAGTAAATTAAAAATATGGTATTCAAGGCCGTATTTTTGTTAGTGTACCCTAAAAATTTTGTATAATTCAAACGAACAGCACAAAGATACAACGCTTCAAAGTCAGTAAAAATTACCCCATTTTGATTATTTTGCTGAAAAATGGTCATTTTTGACGACTTTGAAGCGCTGTATCTTTGTTACTGTTCGTTTGATTTGTACAAAATTTTCAGGGTATACTAACAAAAATACGGTCTTTAATACCATATTTTTAATTTACTTAAAAAAAATCTCAAAAAGTTATTTTTAGAACGTTTTTTTTATTATTTAATTAAAGGGCTTTAAAAATATATTTTTTTTTTAAACTGAGATATAAGTATTTTTATACAAAATTTCATAAAGTAAAGGCGTTTTAGATTTAGAATTTTTTTACTTATTATGCGTTAATTTTGACGGGCAGTGTAGTTTCGAATATAACAATATTGAGTCAAAATAAACATGAGAATTTACTAAGATTGTATATGAAATCAGCTCAAAGCAAAATCACAAGTGAAAAATATTGATTGTACCTAAATGGGCATTTTTTGTTTTACGTTTTACTCAAAATATGTAAATAGTAACATGCAACCTTGTAATATTAGAGTGACGATCTGTCAACTGTCACCCGGATTTACTTTTTCCCAATTTATAATTAGGCTAACTTCAGTACGTGACTAAAAAGCCCAAAATCCACTGTTGGTAACTTTAGCCCGTGACTAAAACGCCAGTCACAGGTCGTCAATAGAGAAGTAGATAATAGTATATTATGTATCGAGTTATCCGAAATTTTAGTTACGAGTTTTATTAAAAAACGACCATCTAGAAAAGTTTATAAAACGTCTTGCTTACTATCCTTTATCTAGGACGAACAGAAATAGGAATTTAAAGACAATTTTAATTAATTAATATTTGACAAATTTATAATAAAGTCAACTTCAGGCCGTGACAAAAATGTCTAAAATCCACTGCTGTTAACTTCAGTCCGTGACTAAAACGCCATAAAGTCACAACTCGTCCATGTAGGAGTGGATAAAAATATTTAATAAACTTCCAACATAACTAAATTGTTACTTATAAAACAAAATATACTTATTTATCTAAATTTTTACAATTTCTTTGAAACGTTTTCATCTTCTTCTGTAATTTTTTTTATTTTTGCCCACACGCTACTGATTTAATGCCCTCTATATGTTCATATTAAATATTTGAGATTTAATATAGAAGTTAGCTTTATCTTTACTTAATGCCCGACTGAGAATAGTTAGCCTTACGCACTATTTTATTGAACGAGCTTAACTTAAGCTTAAGTTATTTTTAATAAAAATCGTATTTTTTACTTTCTTAAAATATTTTTTTAAGTTTTGCCTTTTTAATAATAATCTAATTAAAATTAATAAAATTAATTACCTTTTAGAATTACTTTTATGTTTTTTGTTTTAAAATCTTAATTGATTTTTGCAATATTGGTGTAATTGAAAGTAAAATACTCAGACAGCAGAAGCATTTATTGCGGAAGACCTAAAACCGTTGAAACGTTTTATTTATATTTGAATTGTTCAACTAAAGCCATAAAAATAAATTAATTAAACATCTTGCCTAAATAAACGTAAAAGGACAGGCCCAAAAAGAAATTGCAAGCACAATCGTAGAAATAAAATTTATATACTATAAATGTTATACTAAAACGATGTTAAATTACGAGTACGTATGTTTAAGTTAAATTGGAAATTTAAATTTCGTACAAATAAATTTTGGGTTTCCAATGGGGGAATCAACTCTGCTAAATTCTGTTTATGGATTGAATTTGAATTTTATTACAGGATCAATTTTTAAACGTGGTTATATTTGTTTTTGTTTTTAAGTATTTAATATATTGTAGTAGTATTAATTTTTTATTGGGAGGTGGGCAAAGTTTTTATTTTTTATTTTTTTTTAATTGTTTGTAAACATTTATCATAAAATAAAATTTGATAATATTAATTATTATTAATATTAATTCAATACTGCCCCAAGAGTTTAAAGCACTACATATTTATTCTCAGAAAAAAAAGCCTGGCAAGGCAAAAATGATAAAAAAAAGTGTATATAAAGCGCATATATGCGTTTTTATTCGCGGCTTTTTTTTGTTTTTAAATGTTATACAGGATAATGCCTGCCCTTACACTGCTTGGCTGGTCCAAAATAATGTTGGGATTCGTACTTTGATATGTCCAGCCAGAATTCCATACCTAACCCCCATCGAACATGTCTAGGACATGCATGGTAGACAATTAAGGGATCATCCGAACCGGCCCAATAACTTGGGGAAGTGGGGTGTCTTCTTATCGAAATATAGGATGGGTTGAATTAAAACGACATTCAAAATTTGAATGTCGTTTTAATCCCATAATTTTTTGAAGCACTGTATTGAAAAATAATAATTTTAAACAAAAAAAATTACAAAATATTAACATATTATGCATTACGGGGGAATATAACAAGAAAATATTGCAAAAGGTTTTGCAAAAGGCAAATCAGATAAAATCAAAATGTTCATAATAATATACGATTTAAAGTTATTTGAAGCCAAATTCAGAGTAATGTTATTCTAGTCTATATTTTGTTAATATTATTATAATATATTGGTTTAGGATTAATTTAAATAGTAACTTAAATTATATTACTTACAAATAAATATTCAACATTAGTTTCTAGGTTATGTTCAGTATTTAATTTTAATTAAAAGTAAAGTTTCTATGAACATATATCATATATGACCAATCATTGCTTTTAGAGTTTGTAGAACTTTTTTACTTATATTATTTTTCTTTATTCACATCTGCTACTTAAATCTGGAACACCTTGTATATTTTAGTTTTGGAAAAATATTTTACTTTACTTTTTTAAATTTATCCATATTTTTTATTTAAGAGCCTAAACTTTTTAAATAAAATTAATCTGTTAAAGATATTAACGTAAAATATAAATAAAAATTGTATCCATACTAGAAAGAAAAGAAAACAAACAAACAAATAATTAAATCGTGCTCTACACGCAAAGATTAAACTGCGAACATTTTAAACTCAATAAAGAAAACAATTACAATGCGTGATTTTCACGATCCAAGCCGGCTGAAGTTTACTGTTTAGTAACATACATATAAAATTCTTGTAATTAGAGGCATGACGATAAGACACTGTGTAAGCAGGTCTCCGTGGAAACCTTAAAGGTGAGCCAAGAAGCGGAAAGCTGAATAAAGCAGGCACTTTTAACACCTCACAGCTATAAAATAAATTGTAAGGATTGTAAAAGTCTAATTAGCGTTGGGGCGGTTTAATTGGGCTGTATTCGCATAAACCTAGTTTTTGTATCTTTCTTGCATTTTAAAAAAAAATACAAATTTTTATATTAATTTTTGGGGCTATTCAAAATTGTTTAATAAATTTGTATTATGGGTGCGGCAGAGTTAATAATAATAGAAAACTCAACAAGCTTGCCATCATTTAAGTTATATTAAATTATACTACTTCATGGTTGCCATAAAGAAGCCAAAATACAAAATAATAAAGACAAAAGAATTGATTGAAATAAAATAAAAAGTTAAAAGTAGAAGTAGAATATTTAAATATTTTTCCTTATATTATAGTTTTTAATAGATAGCGAACACCTATTTGTATGCACGTATTATTTTTCATTTAAAAAAATTCGTAATACATTATTTTAAGTATGTTCCGAAAATGTCAGACTGTAAAACCATGCTATACTATGCTATACAGATATTACAATTCTAATGAAAAGAGTAGTAAGAATTTTTTATCAAAATCCAAGAAAAATACATATAAAAAAATGAACGTGTAGTCGTAGTCGTAGGTCACTTTTAAACTTAAGATTAAAAGTTTTGTGGTTTTAACAATCATAAACATTAAATATTGTATACTAAAATTTGAGTATTGAGCTGCTATTTCACAATAACTATGTTATATTACGTAGAGCTGAGTTTAAAAAATATAAATTAAAAACTGGGTGTTACAAAGTTACCCCCTGGTTGCAGGTAACTTTGTCTCAAGTGTATTTTCTGTATAAAATTAACTCATT